ATTCAATAAATTCAACCATGTGCTAAATATCACAGCCGAATTTTTCTAAACCTGATTTTATGAAAACCACTGAGGCGTGAAAACAATATTTGAAACTGAAACTGTGGAGGAACATGAAAACCCGACTTCGAACTTTGCGCACTTGGACTTTAAGGAAATTCGAAACCTTCTAAGTTCTTTTCGAGTTTAGCCTTAAGAGAAAATTGAAACCTTCGAACTTTAGAGCTTTGTACAGAAATAAATTCGAAATCTTCAAATTTATCGAACTTTATGTCTATAAAAATTTGAAACGTTCGAATGTTTCGAAATTCAAATCTAAGAAATTCGAAATCTTCAAATTTTCGAAATTCAGATTCAAAGAAGTTCAAATGTTCGCAGTTTTCTAACTTTAGATCCTAAGAAGTTTTAAATTTTCGAATCTCTCGAATTTCAAGTTAGAACAGTTGGAAATCTTCGAATTTCTCAAATAACAAGTAAAGAAATATTCAAAACAATCGAATCCGAATTTTAAGAAACCGTAAAAGCTTCGAACTTTTTGATTGCGAAACTCTATGGTGTTTGAAAGTTGCGAACGTTTCGAATTCGAACCTCAGTACTGTTGAAAATATCGATATATTTCGATTTCGAACCTCAATTCGGTTCGAAAATATCGAAACCTTTCGATATCGAACCTAGGGTGGTTCGCGGCATCCCTAGTTATGACTTTGTCAAGATTGCCTCAAGCCTAATCCAATTGTAAAATAAAATATTGAAGGTACACGTGTCTTCATTTTCCTTTTAAGTGTGCGTGCTTGCACGACATTGTAAGGAGCCGCATCGCGGGGGTGCGGGCCGATGGCGGCGCGGGGTCGACCTTGAGAACAGGTCTCGGCGGGTTGAAGTGGCGAAATGTGTCGTCACGGCGAACGGCGGTGACGTCATCAGGGTCGCCGGTGGAGAGGGGCTCAAACAGGGCGAGAGTGAGCGTGACCGCGGCAGGCGAGGGCAAGGGAAAAAAAGGGAAGACGGACGGGTGGCACGCGGGAGCGGGCACTTGGTCCCGAGCACGAACGGACGAGCGACCCCCAAAAACGCTGCCTGCCTTGGACGGCGGTTGCCCGAGAACGCTACCAGCCGAGTGCAGCTGTAGCCTCCACCGTGGTAAGGAGAAACTAGCGCCACAAGTCGCAAGTGGCAGAAAGTAGGGCGTGAGACTGAAAAAAGTAAATCAGTCAGTCAGTCAGATGGGCCAAAACTTTTTTAAAACAGGGCGGGCATTTGTAGGAGGAGTGCCTCTGATATCGTGAATAAAATAAAATCAAATCAAATATCGGGAGACCGCCAGATGGCGCCACCAATGTCGTTGGCGTGCGCAGGCGCGGCAGGCGCCCTCCGGCCTTCCTCCTCCCCCTCTCTCTGCTCTCTCTCTCTCTCTCTCTCCCTCCCGCTCCTTTTTGTATTATTATTATTTTTTTTTTCGGTTTGTTTTCCTCGTTTGCTCGATCGGTGTCGCGCTGGCCGCTGCCAGCGGCCAGCGCGGCACCGGTCGAGCAGACGAGCCGCGCGCGCTACACTTCACAACAAATGCGCTTCGCGAGATATTAATTACCAGTGCAATAAAACAAAAACAGCACGTTCATTGAAATGTATATTTTATTGAACACCATTCAAATTAGTTGCAGTATTCCAAGCACGTTACAAACTCCGTCGGCAGTCCACCGCCCCTTGAGCGGAACCAAGAACTGTAGTTAGCAGTAAACGTTATCAAATATGTAAAAACCAAATTAACCACTTTAATGTACAAACTAACAGAACAGCACTTATAATCGAATTACCTAAATGCGTCTATAAACAACTCCTACAAACAAAAATGCTGAATACCCAAACAAACTAATCAACTCCGATATAAAGCAGGCTTGCATTTTAATTTAATTAACGCAGGGTTGCAGGCGAGCTCCATAAGAATAAACGATAAATAAACCATAAACAAACTCCCTAATTGGCAACGCAAAGAAGAAAAAAAAAATCTTCTGGAGTGACTGATTGTGGGCGCTTTTAGGTACTCTATCCTAGAAGCTGCCAAATTAACTAAAGACTCTGACAGCAACTCACTTGGAGGAACCAGTCCTTGCAGCAACGGATTCGTAACAAGAACGGTGAGGCACGTGTTTTTCCGCAAACGAATCTTCCTACATTTTGCAAACGCGGTTGCACCGGCGTGCTTGCTGCACAGACGACACGGACGCAGCTTGCTCACCGGCAGGCTTCCAAAGTCCTGGCGCTTTGCATACGCAATCCATTTCGATGCTGTAATGGAAAGATTGAGAGATCATATATTTCAATGCTTCCAGTTTCGAACGTTGACAAAAAAGTTTGACATAAAAGCTCACCCGCCGTTTGTTGGAAACCGGAAGAATAAGCACTCCGAGTTATTTTGAAGAACTGTTACTCCACTTGGCCGCACAGTAGACTCCGTAATACGCCGTCATGAGGCACGCAACCCACTCGGCAGAATCTCTGTCAAACTAGAGACGTCTCTGATCCCTCTAACCATTTTCTGAGCGCAGACGCGCAGCTCCGTACTCCGTGAAATCTACACTTTCGATTTCAACACGCGCGGAACGGTTTGAAAGCTCGGAGTGACGAGCTCAAGCAAAAAGAGAAGACAAAAACGGTCGTTTGCCCTCACACTGAAGGTTGGTGATTGGTCGGAAGAGCCCAGAGTGCTTCGGTTTTGGTAGCGAAGATCCTATTCACGACGCCAGCGCTCAAAAGTACAGCGGCGAAACAGTCTGGCGTGAGACTGTTGGCTAGACCAACGAATCTGCTCTTTGGGTGGACGTACGAGAGAGAAGCCAGCGACGCGGCGCCCCAATCGGCCCAACCGGGAACTCCGTTAGCTGCATTCGGCTGACGCTACCAGCGAGCTGATCCACAGCTGCCGCTAGCCCGTAACATGCCCGAGAGCTGCCAGCCCTGGACCTGCCCATGACAGACGAGGGAATCCTCTCGAGCCACCCCCGAGCTATTAGCCCCGTGAACGAGCGCGAGCGGCGCTGCGGTCGCCGCGCCCTGATTAGATGAAATGTATTGTGACGTAAGCAAAGGAACGCGGCGACAGAGGCGACCCGAGTCGTACCTGTCTACGGTTTGGTCCACGCTCGCACGGTCTCAGCTATGGTGGCATTCTGTTCGGTGCCACAATGCAAATCCAGAAAAGAACCAGGTATCAGCTTTCACCTGTACCCGAAGCCGTCGAGATTGAAGAAAGCGTGGCTGATTAAGTTAAGAATGGGAAAGCCAGCGCCAAAGTATGCCCTTGTGTGCAGCAAACACTTCCAAGAGAGGGATTTCGTCTACCCCGTGTATAAGGTACTAGGTAAGATCGATACCGACACGTCTCCGTACACAGCATGAACGTATTTGTTTATTTGTCTCTTATAAACAGGTTACAAGTGCCGGAAATTATCGGCGGAGGCGATTCCATCGGCGAACCTCCCCGTGCGTCCCCAGGACAGAATGCGATCGTGTGAGGGGCCGGAGAAACGGCGGCGTAAGTGTTTCGAACTCTGTCCCTAGTTACAAAAAATAGCGTAAAAATATTAGATCCCTGTCTCACTGGCATTCCAGATAGCATTTACGTCTACCGCCTTTAGGCCAGCGGCGAGTCAGCTCGCGATACTGACTCCCGCGCGCCGCTCGGCAAGCACTCGCTCGCTCGCAGATGCCCAAAGACCTACGTGACAGAGGAAGTCTACGCAAATGCAGCTGCATCACGAATGAACTGTGACCCAGTTAGTAGACATAAACAAACTTTTTTCTAAAAAAAAAAAACAATTTTATGGCAACCAGAAAACAGTCGAATTCCTACGAGTTCTGTGTAGGTACAGAGCAATTTCACTCCAGATACTTAGTGAACATTTTGCTTGACTGCACTGCCCTTTTTCCATTCTTGTTTATTAAGCCAGTGCACAATGAAATTGTTCTTTTCAGGTGAAAGACACAATGCTGCACATCCTCACCAGCTTCCACAGCCTTCCATCTCCATACAGTTGGATCCCCTGATAACACGGGAAAGCACGGAGAACGGTGACAGCTGTCTAGTGGAAGATGTCTCGGGAGTAGCAGCACAAGGCGTGGAACCCATGGAGGGTGACAGTTTACGTACGAAATTTTTCTGCTTAGGCTTTGCCACTTTGTTTTTTCTCTTAAAATCAATGTTTTATTGCCCATAAAGATTAAATCTTCGAAAAAAAAGTAATGTGCCTAACACGCTACCTCACATTGGTTTTGTTGTGCATCAGGCAAGGGCCGATATTAATGAGCCCCCAATATCACTAAAGAATTCCAGTGAAGCACTATCTAAATCCAGCAAAAGTCAACTGTAAGCAGTGTAGACAGATATAATGAGCAGGTAGAGACACAACGAAGTAAACAAAAAGTTGGGGTGCAAACGAGCTGGGGAAGATTTAACATAATTTAAGACAACACCCCCGAGACAAGGGAAAAGACGAAGGACAACACAACACAGTCTCAAACACAGCTGATTTTTATTCCACAGAAGTTTGTATTTATATAGTGTTTCGCTGCCCCCACGAACCAAAAAGAAAGTGGAAACACTCTTTACACAAACGCAGAAGAACTCAAAGGACTTGGCACAAAGGTGAAAGAAGTTGGGTTGAACCTTGAAGTAATTAGTATCCTTAAAGTAATTAGGATATCTTGTTTCCATTGTTTGCTTGCAGCTGTACATGGGATAAGTTACCTGTGGTTCTCTATTTGTAGCTGAGAAATCTGTTTAGCGTGCTGCTCAAAAAACAGCTTTTCTAACGTGTATATGTTTGGAAAGTGGGGATACCATAAAAAAAGTTAAAACACGCAACTTCTAACTTTGCTTGAGCCTATCATAGCATTGCTTGAGTGATGTAAATCTATTGGCATGCAACTGCGGATGTCACAATTTCTTTTCCGCTATCAGTGATTCGGATGCTACCCACGCCTGAACCAGTTGAAGCCTCGACTGCAACAAATGCCAACGCCTCGCCGATCCCCGACATGGGTCTCGACAACCACGTCCCAACTTGTGAAGGTAGGAAGTATATCATTGGAGATTTATTTTCATTTGTATGAATGATTGAATTGAGATTTACACTCGGAATTCGTTTTCTTTTGTTTGAAGTGGTCGATGCGGAGCTTGACAAGTTCCGACAGGAAACTGGGGTGCAAGTTGACACCACCAGTAGTCCCTTCCGTGATAACCAACTGATCACAATCTCCAAAGTAGTGGATGAAAACGGGTTGCTCGTGCTCTCTGGAATTTGCTCATTTGAGTTGTTCCACAATATTACGGAACTATATACAGAAGCCCGCACTCTTCGGTCATCCCGTAGCTTCTGCTTAGGTGACGACGATGTTGTGCTGCTCACATTCATGAAGCTTTACCATAACATTACGTTTTCCCTGTTGGGAGTGCAATTTGGTATTCACCGGACCACAGCCTCCAACATGTTTAAAGAATCCGTAGTAGTTCTTGCAAGCATCCTAGAGCATGCCGTTTTCTGGCCCGAGAAAGAAGCTGTGGTAAGTTGTCTCACCACATATTTCTGGCAGTACAAAGAAACTAGGATGGTACTCGACTGTACAGAAATTGAAATTGAGCGGCCCAAAGACCTTGTGTCAAGGTTACTGACATACAGTCATTACAAATGGACGTACACGGCCAAGGTCCTGGTGAGTGAAACGCCGGGTGGCTTAATTAGTTATGTTAGCCCAGCGTATGGCGGAAAAGCATCCGACACGTTCATAACAAAGGAGTCGCAGATCCTTGACAAATGCATTCCACACATTGACAGTGTCATGGTTGACAAAGGATTTCTAATTAATGAGCTGTGCCGGGAAAAAAATGTAAAGATGATAAGGCCTCCGTTCCTAATGGAGAAGCAGCTCACTGCAGAGGAAGCCAGGGCTAATCAGTCGATAGCCAGTGCTCGAGTACACGTGGAAAGGGCAATTCAACGAATGAAGCTCTTTCGAATTCTACGACATCGGTTTGATCTGGATCTTCTTCCGTATATTGACAAGATCTTCACTGTAATCTCTGGCATAGTGAACTTATCGAAGCCATTATTCAGCGAGAACAAATTTTTGTTCCAGTAGAGCTGTTGATGATGCACGAGTCCAACACAGGTTTAGATACACAGCCGTTGCGTGCTATGTGTGCGTTTCTTTTCAATCATTGTACAGTAAAACCTCGTTATAACCAAATGGGATATAACAAACTAATGGATATAACAAATAATCATAATTCCCCTTGCTTGCTAATAGTGGGAAGAAATGGACATTGGCTATAACGAACTAATGGTTATAACGAAATAATTACGACCACTCCTTCAACTTTGTTATAATGAGGTTTTACTGTAACTTCCATTTGTAGCATTTTTGGCTGCTGTAATTAGGAAAAAAGCATTTGCTGTTTTATGTTTGTTTTTAATGACACTGTAAGATGGCAATGAGGGGAAATATGAAACAGATTACAAATAACAACCAGAAAGATTAGTTCTGAAATGCTACTGAACAAAAATTTCAACTTTGTTCAAGCTATACATATTAAACAAACTTATTGCTCCAAAATGTCTTAACAAGACCGTGCAATGTTATCTTACCAAGAATAATTCCTGTCCCCAAGTTGTTGCTGCATTCTTTTCTTAATAAACAATATGATTATGATGTCCATGGCTTTTCAATGTGAGAGTATCTGCAAGAATTGGCTTAGCTTTGCTCTAAATATTAGCATATTTTAAAAATGATAAAAATCCACATCGTGTTTTTAGGTCACAAACATTAACAATTAATCCTGATAAGTACTGTAAACGACCGATTTCTTGCGGGCTCAATATTTCGCAATTTAGGTCAAAGCTGAAGTTTTGGAATAATTCGCGGGTTCTAATTTTTGCAACACGGTGGGATCTCGATAGATTCCACTGTGTTTACATTTTACCGGAATTATTCGTGGGGCCTATTTTTTGCAAATTGTAGGAGATTCGCGACAATTGTGTCGTTTACAGTATTTAACAAATGAAAAAATAAAATCATTGTATTAATTCTAAGGAATGAGTTAAAGTGAGAAAATTCCCCTTAGACCACGCAAACCATCTGTGGCAGCACATACTTCTCAAAAAAATATGTGGACCTCTCAACTACATCCCTGAAGAATTCTTCATCAAAGTCTACAGAGATGCATTCATACTCTTCGTCACTGATGTAGACAAACAGGTCTCCATGCTTTACTCCTGTCAGCCCCATCTGCACCTGCACTTGGCAAAAGTGCGGGCTTGTGCGCTTCAGCTTTAAAGGAGTGTTGTCCGTGCCCTTCTCTACGTTCTCTTGCAAAAACTTTTTCATTATCTCTGGGCATTTTACTTCGAGCACTCGGTTGGCGCAACACTTGCACTCTACCAGTCCATCTGGACTTGCACCAATGTAGGGCCGTCCCTCCATGACAAACAACCCGCACCCTCTCACAACCAAGTCCTCATGCTGAGAGTGCTTCTCCTCATAGCACTTCTTCCCAGGGCCTTCTAGATCACTGCCCCGACGCATTGCAGCCGTTCGGACATTCGTTTGCCTTAGGATCTTTCTTAACAGGGGTCTCGGGTCATGCGGACCCATCCTCGTTCTGAGTGTTTTCACTCGCGTATATACGCTGTATGCGACGGACGCAGTTATCATACCCACTCTGTGGCGCATCCAGAGGCTGGATTTTGCCTGATCCCGCGTTGCCCTCTCTATGTCGTCAATGTCTTTTCTACTTTGGCTCTCCTGTAGGTGCCGAAGCACCTCCTCCAGCGGTAGCCCAACGTTGCGGTTTCCAGCGAGTTCCCTCAGCTCATCCAAGGAACCCAGAAGGGTTAGATCCCTGGAAGCAGGCTTTGGTGAAGCGTCCAGGTCCCAGGTAGCTTCCACAGCTGCACAACAACACAGTAATGTTAGCAATAAAACATGACCCACTTCAAAATATTGCGCAAACCAGAAGCAATATGCATATTAGTGAGAAACAAACTAAGGCTTTATGCTATGCTGAGCACATCCACTGATTCTGTGAGCTGGGATTCAAACTTTGTTGAATGGGAGAGAGAATACTTCGAAGATTACGTCAGTGCAACCACAGGGTGGCTACTACCCTTTACGCGCCTCAACTGGAGGTTCCAAGACGGGCCTTCGGCGCAGTGGTGGCGACGACACTGAAAGCTGAGCAAACCACAGCAGGTCTCTTGCTCAGCGGATGAGTTTTTCCCCCTTTATTTCCAGCTGCATTGGCTTCGTGGATCTCATAACGTCACATACTCTGTTAAGAGAGAAGCGGCAAGAGACTGATGACTGCAGATGTGGTGGCTGGAAACGATGCGACTGTGCAATAGACTTTTTCCGAGAAGCGTTCTGTACACGCGCGAGCGCCCGACGCCAAGCGGCGGAAGTCGGCACCAAAGATCTAGGAAATTCAGAAGGAGGCTGTGGATCAGCGAGTAGAACAGGTAATTGCAGCATATATATAATTGTGTCACACAAAAAAAGAAAGCGGATGGAAAGAAAAACACGACGTTTAGGTGGACGCCACGGATGCCCTTCTTTAAAGTCGCATTGGGCACACGCCACAGTTCAGAGAGCGAAGAAACTGGTAGCGTAGCTCCCATTATCGATTGGTAGCATAGGTAGGTCACTTCCTCGATTTTTAGTTTGTGCAGCCACCACCTGGTGCTGTCGGTATGTGAAAAAGGCCCATTGGTGCCACTAGTGTGTGCAGATCAAAGCTAGGGCTACTACTTGGTCGCCACCTGTTCACTCCCATTTCTCTCATAGCTAAAAGGCCCTCGTTAAAACAGCATGCTGGGATGTTTACATGTGGTGTAAAAGTATGCAGCATATACGAGCAGCGACCAAGTAGTAGGCCCAGCTTTGATCTATGCACCCGAGTGGCACCGGTCGCAAAGTTCCATCATTTCTAGCCACCACATATACGGTAATCAGTCTTTCCCTGCTTCTCTTTGAACAAATCATTGAATGAGAGGAGATTCACATAACCGGTGCAGTTGAAAGCAAAGGAGGGACAACATACTTGCCAAGCGAGAGGCCTGCCGTGGCCTGCTCCACTTTCAGTGTCGTCGCCACTACTGAGCCAAAGACCTATCTTGGAATCCCCAGTGAGGGTGCATAAGGAGCAGTAGCTACCCGGTGGCAGCTAACCTGGGGAGTCTTCATGTGCGCTTTGCTAGGGTGATGCCACCCTTTGTAATACCATTCGCCGACAAACCAGCAGCCATTTTGTTCCTCGGCGATAATCCGTGGGGCTTATAACCCTCCCGGAAACAAGCACCTTATCTCACAAGTTCGGAGCAGCGTTGTGGAACCCACGGAGGGAGGATTAGCATTTCCGCCCTTGGATGGAAGGATTGATAGACACAAAGGCCACTTTCCGGCGCACGGAGAAACAATGAGAGGAAGAAAATGGCGGTGGAAGAGGGTGTCGGAGAGGGAAACAGGCAGTTGGCATCACTCTATGCGAAGCGCACATGAAGGCACCCTAAGCTAACCACGTTGCTAATAGGACAAGTACTCGTCCTGTCTGCTTCTATTTTCTGGTGTCTGCATCTTTGTGTGCCGTATAAGTTTTTTTTCAAAGTTATAAACCAACCTGCCAGCATTGTTACTTTAGCCTCGTTTACATGAAAGCGCGTTCAACGTATTGACTCCACTCGTTCGTCAAACGAAGCCGACGCGGCAACGTTTACATGAATGCGCACCAAGCCCTACACGAAGGTGGCATCAGGCCGTGTCGAAGCTCGAAGTTATGCACTTCCGGAACCAGCCGCTACACGTTTTCCGGTGCATCGCTCGTGGATGCCTCGGAGGTCTTTTGACGCATTCAGTGAACTAAAGATTGTGCCCTCTGACTTCGGTGCTGTGGAAGAAGTTACGAGCGGAAGAAACATCAAAACCCAAGCGTTTATGGCTCCAGGCCGGGCCGCCGGGTCACTCTGGACCAGAGGCGACGTGTGTGCGCACGCTTTGAGGAAGCCTCCGCGCTTCACCGCGCCAGACCTCGCCGATCGCGACCGGACCCCGAGTCCGAAAGGCTCCTGCGCAGCCAGGAACGGCACCGAGGTAGGAGCTGCTCGTTCTGCGCTACCATGAGTGCTCCACAGTGCTCGGAGCTCTCGGTGTCGTTCGGGCTTGCGCCAAAGCCTTTGGGACCCCTTCGGACGCGCAAGTCGTACTTCGCAAGGCTTGGACGGGGGCCGCCCTCACTGAGCAAATCCGCTATATTCCGCTTATTTATGATGGAAATAAAAGCTTGCGTTTGTTCTCGGGGAAAAAATTGCGGGCGACTATACATGACCGCTCTCCGCGCCGCCGACGGGGTTGGCCGCCGCCATGTTCTCAGCTGTTCACTCGCTCCCGCAGCGAGCGCCTTCCCATAATCCTCCCCGTTCCAAAATGCGATGCAACCTCCGTTTACATGGGCTGAATGAATGTGCACTCGCCATCTCGACCCACCTCTCTCTGGCGGCTTGAATGCGATGCGCTTTCTTTGTGCATTATGCCATTTACATGACCGCATTGAATGCGACACCTAGATTCGATGCGACTAAGTCGCATTCATGTAAACGCGGCTTTTGATTCAATTCCATTCCTAATACTGTTAAGCTACTCCCAGTAACTACTGCCTTTTGCTGCTCAAAGCCTGCTCTGGTGAGCACGATGTGTTTGAGCATCAGAACCATATTCAAATTAAGCATGTCAAATTCAGCTATGTGGACCTTTAGACAGCAAAAAAGTAACCTGCCACTCAAGTATGGTGCCTAGTGGCTTTGCTGCGACAGAAGCATTTAAGACCATGCAACTACTGCACCTCCCAGAGAAGCGGTTGACAGGAGTGCACACCGAAATAAGAGCCATATGCACGAAAACTGAAAGGAATCAGCATCAGACTCATAACACAAGAATTTGGAGTACCGGCAAGCTGTGCTGTATTGACACATTAAACTGCCATGTCTCCAGTTAAGCATGGTTAAAAGGTAAACTTGGGGAATTACATGCTAAACCAACGAAGGGCATCCAGAATGACACATTCAAAGGACTGATGATTCATTTTGACTGCCTGAAAGTTTTCGTAGTGCAACTGAAATAGTTGTATTGCAAACCATTATTATACGGTGTACTACTGTACTGGAAATCAGTCATGTGCATCTGCATACCTGTTTCCACTGCCGTTTCCGAGTGCATTTTCGCTGCAGATCGATGAGGAACATTCTTCAGGAGTCTCTCGAGGATGTTCCCTTGCAACTGCGGAGTCTCCTTCAGAGTTACCTTAAAAACAGTACAAAGCGATGTCAAAGATCAGGATGCGCATTCCGAATAGAGGTTACAATATTGATTGATTTCTCCACAGCAGGCAAATGCTTCGCTTGGACGTGTTCTCTCGAAGCTATATTTGCTTGATCAAAAAAAAGTTAAGAGGGCGCTTTTAGTGCATGAAACCTGAAACAACCGGAAAAATGATTAGCTAGAGCAGTGGGCCAATATCTGTAAGGAATAAAATTGCAATTTTGTCACGAAGATGCTGTGAAACAATCGGTGTCACTGTTGGTGTACCCAAACCACTCGTTCATCAAGAAACATCGCCGCAAAAAACCTACCTGAACTTCAAAGAGAGAGCCAGGCAACGGTTAGTGTGACACGGCAATTCTCCGAATGATTTCTAAGGCGGTAGTCGGCGGGGTCGTTATTGCGGGGGCCTATGCCTCACCCTCGGCGAGGGCACATTTGTGACACTTCTTTGGCCCCTTGGCCTTTGAAGTGCAAGGTTTTCTGCTAGAAGCTCCGGCTGTCTGACATCGGGTTACCAAGACCTAATCCTCCGAATTCAGGAATAATTTGAAGCTGTTAGGTGTGTTTTTGTGATGCTTGTGGGATGGTGTGATGGTTGTTTCGTTGAAATGGAGGGAACGCGCAGGCTTTATTTTGGTGATGTTGGGTTTCAACGAGCTGTGCACACCACTTTGTGTTCAACGGCGCGCCAGTCGATGTGGAGAACTGGTAGCCAGCAGTCATCTGACCCTTGGACTCCAGATGCTGCCCCGCGGGCGTTACGGCACTGAAGGGGACTCGATTTCGGCACCGAGTGGCTGATCTCTGTGTGCCAGCCCTGCGAGTTCTTCCTCTGTTGTACTGCTACAGAGCGACGTGGCGTCCAATGAATCGCCTAGGAGAACTTGCGGCAACTAGCCGCTAGACTTTTCGGCTCCGGATGTCACACCGCAGCAGTGAGGACTCAGTTTCGACACCGAGTGGCTAACCTTCCAGTGCCAGCCCTGCGAGTTCTTCCCCTGCTTGATTGCCCCAGTGTGACGTCCCCGCAACTTCACTTGCCGTACGTGGAGCAGCACCACACCACAACGAGGAAAGTCTGAGGAACTTCGGCTCCTCCTCGCAAGCCGCGTCATGCTGGACTGGTCCATTGTGCAGTACTGTCTCCATCATTTTATTGCAAGTTTGTACCTTGCCCTTTACTAGTGAAGCCTCTGTACCCGTTAGTGATGCCGTATTATCTGCCCTCCGATTAAATTCCTGTGTAGCGTTCTTGTGTGCTTTGTTCTAATTAATATTTTGGAAATGAATGTGTTTATTATCCAGTTCACCTCAGTGTTTGTCTTTGTCCCCCGCGTCCCTTGGGCCTATGCCCCGTGGGAGAACCGACGTCTAAACTTCCTGTAGCGACCCACGCCAACTGCCGGGTCATGACACGCTTGCTCTTTTGAAAGTGAAAAAGTGCCAAACTTATTATCATACCTTGTTTGCACAGGGCAGGTCAACCATCTTCCGTGGCTCATACTTCTCCATGACTCGCTCCTTCTGGGCTTTTCCCCATTTCTGGGGCTGGTCAGTTGATGAGAGTTGGTCGAACTCTCTTGCTGCATTGATGTGCAGCAAGACTGCTACGATGTGCTTGCATTTGAAGTTGCTGTAAGACAATAACAGAAGGCACGTCTAAAAAAGTGGACTTTAAAAGATGTGACAACCAAATTTTCCACTGTATCACAAGCTGCCACAACTACGGAAGTGGTTAGGCAGATCTATTGTGGCAATTAGCGTGGTCTAATCTTGCCGAAATTCTTCTGTCGCACGAACGAAACATTTTGAGCGTCTGATTTATCGACGCAATCAGCGCAACCTAGAAACGCTGAAATTGTTCGGGTGCACGAGCGAAGAAACGCCTGTTTACACGACGCATCAAATGGAACGCACGTATCGGCGGCGGCTTGAACTTTTTCGCCCGAGACAGCTGGCACTATAAACCGCATGTGAGCGATGGTTCGGGTGACGCGACCAGGCGAAGCGACGAGCATACTCAGTCCGTTGCTCGATGTGTGCGAACCGCACCCAAACGACTTCCCTGCGATGATTTCATAACCAAGGAAAAAGTTGTGCTCGTAGCTGACAACTCGGCACGGCCCTAAACGGAGCATACCCTGCCTTGCACGAACAGCTGGCTTGGTCCACCTCCGACCTGCAGATGGTGATTTTCACTTCGTGCGGGGCACCAGCGATTGCAGTGGTCTGCAGGACGAACGCCAGGAATGTAGCACGGCTCCCGAAGATCGTTGATACCGCGCACTCGACAACGTGGCCTGCGTAGTACACATCTTCGGCCTCGTTGAGGCAGCGACTGGTCTCGCACGCCTTGTCAATGTATCGATTAATACTGCTCACCGGCAGCGCGACTGCAAAAGAACAATAAAAAAAGCGCCGGTTACTCGCCTGGCTTACAGCCGCTACAAAACTACACCACACCAAGCATTTTCAGACGGCGTACCGCGCGAAGCGGAGAACGAAGAGCGAGCTTGCTTACCCGACACCCGATCACTGCTGCGTCCGTCGTCGTCCATGAGTGAAACCGGAACTCCTCGACTCAATTTCCGTTCATACAGGTAGCGAAGATTGTTCAACGCATAAAACAAGAAACAAATACTCGAACTTCGTTTTAGCAACGCATGAAGAAAAGAGACCAAGTGCACTGTGCACACCAAACAACAACACGGTAGACGCGGCAGACTCAACAACCGTTCCTTTGGTGACGTCAGTTAGCTAGTTCCCCGCCTGGGCGTAAGAGGGCGTCACCTAAACTTCTCGGGGGGACCGAGGGCCCTGGGGGCACTGAAGTAACTGAAAACCCAACAAAGTCAGGAGAGGCACCCAGGGTTAAAAAGAGGAGAAAACGTAAGAACAGGTATAAAAAATCAGCACAATCAGACATTGGATATATTAACATGCAGGGTGGTAGAAATAGGTTAAAATGGGAAGAGGTAGAGGAGCAACTAAGAAAGGAGGATTTAATGGTGTATGGGTTTGTGGAAACACATCTCAGAGACATGGAGCAGCCACCTTGCAACCCTGACTATGTGTGGGAAGAATGCAACAGAATGGAGGGAACGAGGAAGGGAGGTGGAATTGGAGCATTCATTAAGAAGAATATGAACTTTCAAAGGATCAGAAAGGAGTGCGCCGAACATTTGTGGCTGAAAGGAAAAGTCGCTGGGGAATCAACAGTCCTTGGAGTGGTTTACTTATGGACAGGGACAGGTGCTAAAGAGGAAAACAGAAAAATGATTGATTGCATATCAAGAGACATTAGTGAACTAGGGGAAGGCTCCGAAATAATTATTATGGGAGACATGAATGCCCATATTGAGGGTCTGGATGGGTATACGGACTCAACTGGAAGCATATTACTAGAACTGGTGGAAAAACATGACTTAGTTTTATGTAATACCAGTCAGAAGTGTGACGGGCACATAACTTGGGAAACTGGCAATCTGCATTCAACTATAGATTACGTACTCATGTCACACAAAATATATGGTAAGTTACAAGTAATGAAAATAGATGAAGAAGGTTCCAAAAGTCTTGGTAGTGATCACAAACGTATTAAGCTGAATTTTGCCAGAGAAGTAAATGCTGAAACTAGACAACATAATTCAAAGCAAACTTTCTGCAGCGACAAAGAGTTGGAAATAGTTGTTGAAAGAATAGAGGCAGCAGTTTCAGGGCAACGGCATACAGATTGGACCTATGAGAGCCTAACTAGGCTTTTTTCTCTAGAACTAGACAAAGTTAAGAGTAAACGAAAGGGGAAGCAAGGACATAGACCAAAAAGTTGGTGGGACAAAGAAGTGAAGCAAGCGATACAAAAACGTCAGGAAGCCTCTAGAGAACACAGGTATTCCAAGCGTAGTGGGGAGTCCGAAACGGAAGTAAAGAGAAAATGGGACAATTTTGTAACATGTCGCCGAGAGGCATCCAGTTTGATCAATGCGAAAATTCAGAGAAAGGGTGAGGAATGGATGAGTAATGTAAGTAAGAAAGATAGAAATGCTGCCAAGAAGTTTTGGGAGCACTTGAACTCACTCGGTGAAACAACGCAAGCTAGACAGAGGTTTATACTCTCGCATCAGGGAGATCAATTAGAGGGAGATGATGCGATACAATATATAGGAGCAGTGATGGAGGAGAAATTTCGGGAACGGGTACATGTGGAAGATAGGAGAACCGAAGGAAGTAGCAGTCCAGTTTGTGACATCGCGGATTTTGGACAAAGAGAATGGGAAAAGGCGGAACGAAGAGTCCCTAGTGGCACGTCGACAGGCACAGATGGTATCCCTATCAAGCTGGTGAAGAATTTGGGTCCTAAATCTAAGGCAAAACTAAGGGAGGTAGTGAGTACCATGATAACAAAAGGAAATATTCCAGATGAATGGAGGCTTAGTAGGATGAGTATGATATATAAGGGAAAGGGAGATAAGTCTGATATTAGGAATTATCGTCCTATAACCGTGACACCGGTTATTTACAGGTTGGTAATGCAGATTATAAAGAACAGACTGGAGGAATGGGTAGATTGCGAGGGCATACTGGGCGAGTTACAGAACGGGTTTCGAAAACAAAGAAGGTTGGAGGACAACTTATTTTCTCTAACACAGTGTATAGAAATAGCGCAAAAAGAAAACAGACAGCTCTGGCTGGCATTTCTGGATATCAAGGGTGCCTATGACAATGTGAACCAAAGAAACCTGTGGGACATAATGGAGAACTTAAACCTAGATGAAGGACTAACAGCACTATTAAGGAACATTTACAAAGATAACAAGGTGATTATAACATGGGAAGGAATGGCGACAGGGAAAATAGAGATAAGACGAGGCCTTAGGCAGGGGTGCCCGTTATCGCCTTTGCTGTTTATGTTGTATCTGAGAGGATTGGAGGATAGACTAGAGAAGAGTGGGCTTGGGTTCAACCTTTCTTACAGTAAGCTAGGCCAAAAAATTCAGCAATCCTTACCGGGATTGATGTATGCGGATGATATTGTACTAATGGCTAACAACAGGACAGAGTTGCAGGAATTAATGAGCATCTGTGGTAGGGAAGGAGAGGAATTAGGTTTAGAATTCAGTAGCGAAAAATCGGCAGTCATGATTTTTAACGAGGATGAAGTTGAGAGGCTGAAGATACAGAATATTACAGTTGAGAGAGCTAGTAAATACAAGTATCTAGGAGTATGGATATGTGATGGTGCAGAATATCTCAGAGACCATGAAAAGTATATAATAGGTAAGGGCAACAGAAATGCAGCTGTAATGAAAAATAGAGCACTTTGGAATTACAACAGGTATGAGGTGGTGAGAGAGATTTGGAAAGGGGTCATGGTGCCTGGCTTGACTTTTGGAAATGCAGTGCTATGCATGAAATCCGAAGTGCATGCGAAACTAGAAATAAAACAGCGCGGAGTAGGTAGACTGGCTTTGGGGGCGCATTGCAAAACGCCAAACCAGGGAGTACAAGGAGACATGGGATGGGCATCATTTGAGAGCAGGGAAGCGGTGAGCAAGGTAGAATTTGAGGATAGGTTGAGGCTAATGGATGGGGAGCAATGGGCACGAAAGGTTTTCAGCTATTTATACATGAGGAGTGTAGACACAAAGTGGAGACAGCGCACTAGGAAATTAAGAGGAAGGTTTTTGGGCTATAGCGAAGATACGGAAGAGCAAGTCTCAGTTAAGAAGAAAGTTAAGGCCACAGAAAGAGATCGGTGGCTAGAGGGAATGCAGACAAAGACTGCTCTGGAAAGCTATAGATTAAACAAAAGAGTTATTGCCAAAGAAAGCATTTATGACAATTCTAGGGGAAGCTCATTGCTGTTTGAGGCAAGAACGGGTGTTCTGCGAACCAGAACATACAGAGTGAAGTACCAGGAAATTGATACAGTGTGCACTGCTTGTGGAGAGGAGGACGAGACGGCTGAGCACTTGATACTCTACTGTAAAGGGCTTCACCCTATGCCTACTGAAGACAACATAGATTTAATAAAGTCATTGGGTTTTAGAGACAGCGAAGGGAGAGTGGATTTCAAGACTGTAGAGATTACCAAGCAAAGATTAAGTGAATGGTGGCAGAAATCGAGAGAAAACTAGGTATTTTCTTAATCACTGATGGCAAGGGGGGTTTCATAGCCTCACTTTCTTTGCACTGCGGAGTGAATATAGATTTCACATTTAAATATTCTAAGCTTAAATGGTAAAACAAAATGGCTAGGTGGCGTAAGCTACCGCCCGATCCAAAGGGCTCAGCCGTATTCATCCATCCATCCATCCATCCATCGGGGCTAATAGTCGGATGCAACCTGAGAACAATCTTTTAGCTCCACCCACAAGCGCATTGCGGCCATCTGAAGTGCCTCCGCCGTCGAGAAAGTAGTTCGCTAGCAACGTTGCTTTTTCTTCCTCCAGGAAACGTGTCTTAAACTACTACAATATTTATTTAATTGACTCCGTAAGTGTGACGTCAGGGGTCCAAACAAACCGTTGCTAGGGTCGTTGTTATGGACAAATACATGTGGCTAGGTTTCGCTACAAAAACCCGACCGCTCAAAAATCGGGAGTAGGATTTAAACTTCTAAAAATTACAGGTATAGAAAGCTTGAATGTCATATATGTTGCTACAGAAGTGTGCCAAGAATCGCTTGTTTCTGAAATATTTACGACTGCAACTTCCGGTCCTCAAGATGCCTGCAGCAGACGACAAATGCAAGAAGAATGCCGTCTGCCACACACCCGCCGGCCAAGCCGGCGCCGGCGTCTGAATCGGGTGAATCAAGACGATATTCTGATATTGCATTTGTTTGAAATATAATGAGTTTCAGACACTTATAAGAGTTCATAGTGGGGTGCGATGCAAAATAGGGTTTATCGAAAGTCCTGGCGTCGATCGAGATGATCGGCTGCTAAAAGATCGCAATGCACCCGTGAGAAAAGCACTTCAGGCGATCGGTAGAGATCCCAAATTTTGTTTGCGGACTCGCGCTATGGGAGGGTGCTTCGTATCTGATTCTAACCATCGCGTGGAGAAAGATTCTTGCAGTTTCTTCAGATTTCCGCAAAACCCCAAAACGCGAAAGAACTGGATAAAAAACATAAGGTGAGTTTATTACAGATTGTACTCTCATCGCGGTTCGATGGAGATCTTCACCGAAAGGGCACATCCACTATATTTAATCTATACAAAAAAAAAAAAATTGCGAAATTGCGACAGACCTGCAATATTTTAATAACCTGACAACCTCAATAATAATAATAACAAACGACTTATCTTGATGGCGTACGATTTGTTTCTTATGCTGGCCTGCACTACGCCGGTAATGCACTTCAGGTCGTCGTCGTAACTGATCTGCATGACGTGGTTTTATTTTACGGAATTTTCGCCCCTCTGAACTAAGCTGGGTTCTTCACAGAAAAAAACGCACATTGCGGAAGCCTCTGCGGTCAGGGCGATGCACTTGCTTGTGTTGCTCGTTTACCGACGCAATTCAATGAAGACGCCCGCTGCAACAGAGGCCAGCAAATCTATCGTGTCGTCTGCTACCAAAGCAAAGTGGAGTGGAACACTTCAGAAATGGCTTTCATCGTTGCAATATGACGCTGAGATGACAAGAACACCTTCATAATTAGATATCAAGAAGTTAGGTTGATTACAAAAAATTATTTACTTACTT